AATCCAAAGTCAGTCCCCCACCCCACAACATCCTAAACCCTAAGCCCTGAACCTTAAACCCTGAACCTTAATTAAACCCTACACCCTAAACCCTAAGCCCGTTTAGGGTTTAGGGTTTAGGGTTTAGGGTTTAGGGTTTAGGCCCTAAACCTCAAACCTGACTCTGTCCGCGCGCACTTAGGCCCCCCGCAGCAGCTCGAGGAGGACTCGCCTTCTTCCGAGGGGCCTGCTCGGAGTTCGGTAGGGTGTTAAGTAGGCCTAGGGTCTATAGAGTGTAGGGTTTTGGGGTCATTGGGTCTAAGGCCTATAGAGTTGTGGGCTTCGGGGTTTTAGGGGTTTAGGGGTTTTATGAGGGTCTAGAATCTTATGGCTTCTTCGGCTTGAAATTCCACGGCTTCTTTAGGGTTTCTGTTGGGGGCTTCGAGGGCTTCGTGGGCTCAAGGCCTTTGCTTGGGCTCCACTCTCCGAGTAGGGTATGGTCCCCTCAAGTTGTAAGTAGGGTGAATTCTAAGGGGCCCTAGGTTGGGTTTAGGGTTTAGGGTTTAGGGTTTAGGGCTTGGGGTTTAGGGTTTAGGGTTTAGGGTTTAGGGTTTAGGGTTTAGGGTTTAGGGCGTAGGTCCTACGATTTAGGTACCCTAAACCCGAAGCCCTAAACCCCCAAACCCTAAACCCTAAACTCAAGTTAGTTTAGCAAGGGGGCCTCCTACTTTGTAGGGGCTTCGAAGGCCTTTGGGACGAATTTGCGACTGAGGGCTTCATGTACAGGTCCCTGCAGGGCTGAGGCGCACTGGGAGCTGTTCAGCGTGGGTTTAGGGTTTAGGGTTTAGGGTTTAGGGTTTAGGGTTTCGGGTTTAGGGATTAGCTTATTGTCCAGTAACCCGGGGGAATTCAAGGCTAACCTTTGGGATTATAAGGGGATTGTACTACCCCAAAAAGGTTCAAGGTTACCCACTCTACGACTAGGTTAGGGTTTAGACGGGAGTAGGGTTTAGGGTTTAGCGGTTTGCGGCTCAGGGGTTCGGGTTTCGGGTTGTAGGGTTGTCGTTGCCCCTTGGTTAGGAATAGGGCTCTGAAGGGCCTTTCGCTGGGTTTCATAATTCCTTTAGTTTTATAAAGAAATATAGCGAGGGGGACTCTTGCTTGCAGGGCTTAGGGTTACGGAATTGTGGCGACACTGGCACGCTAGGCTTGGCAACGAAATACCCCCCCCCTCCCCCCAAGGACTGTTCCCAACTCGAGCTAAGGACGAAAACGCTAGCACCTTCAGCGCTTAATTGCAACGGAGGAGGTGTAGAAGGCCGCTCTCTTCACCATGAAGCGTGCCATTGTTCACGTTCAACTTGACAATGTGTACGTTCACGCCTGTGCGCAGCAAGTGGCACAGCTGCCGAGCCACTTTTGCAACCCCGGTGGAGCCGAAAGTCCCGCGCCCTAAACCCTAAACCCTAAACCCTAAACCCTAAACCCTAAACCCTAAACCCTAAACCCTAAACCCTGTGTCATGGCACTCTTGGCGTACCTTGCATGCCCGAGAAGTCCTGGCAGGGCCTGCTTAAGGACCTCCACATGGACCTCACATGCTCATAGGTCTTCACCCTAAACCCTAAACCCTAAACCCTAAACCCTAAACCCTAAACATTTCGCGTCGACTTTCGGAACCCGGCTCGAGGCGGCAGGAGCTATAGAGGCTGCCTCACCACCTGTGCTTCTCAAGAACTGTCATGAAACCTCAGATCCGATCCCTTGACTATACTCCCCGTAGAACCTTAATAAAAATAATATATTGGAACCTTAATAAAAATAGTATATTTAATATCCTCTTGGGTTTTATCTAAACAAACATGAAAAATAATTCCAAAGGAGGATATAGTTGGCTGTAGGTAAGCATACAAGAGCCCTACGAACCCTAAGCCCCTAAGCCCTCGGGGCATGTGGGCTCGAGTTTAGGGTACGACGTGCCCCCCGTCGGCCAGCCCTCGTCTGAGCTTCACACCCAAAAACATCCAGAGCCTGAACCAGAATCCAAAAACCCTAAACTCTAAACCCTAAACTTCCCTGAGCTCTAACCCTAACCCCTGAAACCGAACCCTGCACCCTACACCCTAAACCCTGCACCCTAAACCCGAAACCCCCCCAAATTCAGGAAAACCCGTTTACCGAAGCCCTAAACCCTAAACTCAGGCAGGCGGGTCTCCTCTGGTGCTCGGCTGGGCTGGGCCTGTGGCCTGCTGGGATGGACCGGTAAGAACACCAAAACCCTAAACCCTAACCCCCAAACCCTAACCCCCAAACCCTAACCCCCAAACCCTAAACCCCAAACCCTAAACCCCAAACCTTAAACCCCAAACCCTGTAGACCCTAAGTCCCAAACCTTGAACCTTAAGCACCACAAGGCGTAGGGGATGAGGGCTGGGAAGTGTTCCAAAGCAGCTTGTTTGGACAGCGTGGGCTCCATAGGGTTGTTAGGGTTCCCAAGCCCTGGGGCTTCTAGGGTTTAGGGTTTAGGGTTTAGGGTTTAGGGTTTAGGGTTTAGGGAATATGGGTCTGGGGTTTAGGGTTTCAGGTTTAGGGATGCTAGGGTGGTGGGATTCTGGGGCTTGAGCGTTTATATTGGTTCTAGGGAAATTTAGGGCTTCAAGGGATCGGGGCTCAGGTTGTTTTGGGTTTTTTGGGGGTGTTAAGGACCTCGGTTAAACCCTAAACCCTAAACCCTTGTGGGTTCGAGCTTCAAGGACTTAGGGTTCAACTGCTGGGGTCTTGCACCGCCACCGCAACGTACTTGAGTAATCGGCTTCCATACCATTGATGTACCGCACTTCAAGGGTAGCTTTGTTGCAATACATCTAAATCCATGTATAACAACCATAATCAGAATAATCATAATAATCATAATAATAACCATCAAAATATTAGTCATAATAAAAAACAAGAATGATAATAACAAGAGAGACAGAGAGAGTTTTTTTTATGTTTGTTCTGGCATGGATATTTAAACACAAGTCTTCGTTGTTGCATTCTGGTACTACAAGTAGGGGGCCCCCTTACTACTGTAACTTTAGTTAGGAGAATTAAAACCTAAAAAGTAAGTATAACCCAATTAAGGGCCCTTCTAACCCTACTTATACCCCTACTTATAACCCTACTTATAATACTACTTATAACCCTACTTATAACCGTACTTATAACCCTACTTAGCACCCTACTTATACGGTTGATGGAGAAAATCTTGCACCTAATTAATAGCAAGTGACACGACACATGAGCATAACCCCGCACCCCCTGTTTAATATTGACGATGATGGACAGCGAGGTGGTGCAAGATTTTTGTCATTGGAACCCACGGCACTTCCTCGGATCAACAGTCAATATTAAAGAAAGGGGGCGCGGGGTCTCTACTTGCTTGCCATTTAAAGCGGTGCAAGATTTCCTCCATCAACAGTACCTGCAACGTCGTTGCAGCAAGCAAGATGTATGAAGAGTATACAGTGTTAACTGCGATTCGTACCTTTTCCACAGTTAACACTCAGCTAACACTACAGTTAACACTACAATTAACACTACCGAAATGCTGCAAAAACCAGCATTTTGCCGGATACACGCATTTCAAAGAAGCAAATTATTATTTTCCTGTCTTTAACACAAATTTGAGGAACATGCTGGTTTTTGCAGCATTTCGGTAGTGTTAACTGTAGTGTTGACTGTAGTGTTAACTGTAGTGTTAACTGAGTGTTAACTGAGTGTTAACTGAGTGTTAACTGTACAAAGGGCGAAAAACACACTGGAGCTCAGCAGGTGGAGAACGACGATTCATGTCACCGATGGCACCGCTGATGAAGGACTGTTTGGTGATGTGAAGTAAATACACAGGCTTCTTTTGTCATTTCAGCAACAGGATCCTGTCAGTAATACTACGTATAACCCTACTTATAGCTATAGGGGGTTCTAAAGGTTTAAGCTCCAAGGATGTGGAACCATGGCTGGCTCCGGGGTCGTTAGGGTTTAGGGTTTAGGATTTAGGGTTTAGGGGTTGGACTCTTATGTCATGACTACAGCGATATGCTAACGTACCGCACTACTATGTCTGACCCTCCCCACGGCGTATATCATAGCATAGTCTTATGCAACACATCGACTTTACAAGGCTTTTGCTGAAGCGAGCTTTAAATGGGACAAGTCTGTTTGGGTGTTGCTTGCGCAACGTGTGCTTACCCAGACCCCCAGTGCCAGGTATTTTTTTCGGAGGGGAGCGGGGGGGGGGGGGGGTGTAATCGTCTATTTTCTGGGAAGCACAAAGCAGTCAAGCAAGCCCCTGGTTTGAAATGGGGCGAGCATTCCTTTGTGGAGCCGCTCTGATGCGCAGCCGCCTTCGGCGCTGTACAGAAGGCGGCGGGCAGCGCGGTTGTGAATTTTGAATTAAGCTTTAAGGTTCTTAGGGCTTGCCGCACGACAGGGGCAGTAGGAGAATGATTGAGACAACTCTTGCGGCGCCCAGCGCGGGCGCGGCGACAAGTGGCACTGGAAGTCAAAGGTGCTCGGCGCCAACCATCTCGACCTCCACCATCGGACTTTCCTTCTTTTCCTTGGTAGCCCAGTAACAGTATTACCCTGGACTTCAAAAGACCTCAAAACATAGTCTTTGTGAAACCATTTAATCGTGGTTTGCGCAAAAGCCATGTGTTTCTGGGCCTTTTTACCGTCTATGCTTTTTTACAGCTCTTTCTAAGCCTTTTTACTGTCTTTGCGGTTGTTCAAAATGACGTTCTTCATGCAAAACGCAAGGACCGTCATTGTTCAGGTCGTTGAAGCCCAAGGATTACATTATAAGGGAACCCCCTAACCCAAAAAAAAGAGGGAAAATGGTACCGCTGGGCTACTTAGGCTGCCCAGTAACCTAGGCTTAAAAAGGGTACCCTTTTTTGCTTAAAGGGGTTTATAAGGGAACCTCAAGCCCCCAAAAAAGGGAATCAGGGTACTACTGGGCATCCTAGCTACCAAGTTTCCTTTCGCGGAGCCTGAGCCGGAGCCACTGCGTCGCAGAAGCGCCGCATGCCTTGCACAAGCCATTGGAGACAACCTTGGGGGAGCAAATGGACCCTAAAATTTGGGTTAGGGTTTAGGGTTTAGGGCTAGGGTTTAGGGTTTAGGGCTACTCTAATTCCTACTATAGTAAGGCATATGACCCATAAACCTTCTTAGGGTTCGTTGGGCCCCCGAGGAACTGACGATGAGCAGAAGCAGGCCGGGGAAGATCCACATGCAGCCGAGCACGAGGACGACATAGTCGGATGCCACGAGATCCTTGTCTACCAAATGAGCCGCAAAAGGGTTTATGGTTCCTTTACCTTAGTAGGAATTAGAAATGAACCTTAAAAGGGTTTATGGTTCATATACCTTGATTATTATCGTATTATAGTAGAGCAGGGTATACGAACCCAACTTTAGGGTTCATTTGGTCCCCAGGGATCAGCCCCCGATGCCACGATGAAGGAGACCACCAGAAGCGAGCCATTCAGGGCGTGGAAGGGGAGGCAGACGAACAGCGTGCAAACGGCCGGGCCAACCCGATCATCATCGTCATCCTCATTCGTGTTGTTGCCTTAGCTGCTGAGTTCATAAGCGCCCAAAACGTGCACACTTTCAGCTCTATAGGGGATTATCGTATCCCAAAAAGTGTAAAGTGTACTTATTCAGGTTCTAAGTTGCGGATGTACGTGCAGGACATCCAGATATCCAGCGGGAAGTAACCTAGGATGGCCACCAAAAACCTCTGAAACGTATTCCTGAGTATGATCCTCTTAAACTCGAGAAGGGGATATCTACAAAACGTCCCAAGGGGGGTTATCTAGTAGCCCTAAACCCTAAACCCTAAACCCTAAACCCTAAACCCTAAACCCTGGGCCAAAAAATGTCCCAAGCAGGGTTACCTAGTAGCAGAAGCTCAGCCCCATACCGACCAGCTGCAGGACGACGTGCGGCTCTGCGAGCATCGGCTGGGTCACGATGATGGCGATGGCTATGCCTTGGGGGGGTGGGTTTAGGGTTTAGGGTTTAGGGTTTAGGGCTACTAGGGGGGTTTCCCTACTACCCCCTCAACACTACCCCTCCCCCTGGTTCCCCCCTCCTTGAATAACCCTGAATCAGGCTTAATTCGCCTTTTAGGGTTTAGGGTTTGGGCTGTAGGGTTTGAGGTCTGGGATTTAGGGTTCAGGGTTTTGTTAGCTATGAGGGGTAATCCTGAAATCAACCCGGGAAGCACACTTGTAATAGAGCCCGCAGGGCCAGCAGTGGCAGGCACTGCCTGGCACCTGTTGCAGTTGGGCCGGTTGCCGGATTCAGCAAGAAGAAGGGCATGTCGCCGCCGCTCAAGTGCCAAGGAGGGTGCACACAGGCGACTTAAGGGGGTTTTCGAAAAGCGGGGGTACCCTTTTTAGGGGGGGGGGGGGGTCCCTTTAAGGGGGTTCTATTCTATTTGGGGTATACAGGGGGACCCCTGTTTTGGGAAATGCCGATTTGAGACCCTGCTTGACCAGTGTCCTATAGTGTGACTGCTCAGGATCGCCGTCGGGATGATAACCCTAAACTTGAACCCTACACTCGAAGCCCTAGACAAGGTTAAAGGCGAGTTGCCTAGGGGTGGGGGCAAACCCTGAAGAGCTGGGGGAGGATGCTTGGTTCGGCATGCTGAAAGAACACTGAGCCAAATGCCAAGACTCAAGGGGTTGTACCTTGGACCCTTAAGGTTGTAGTCTTGGGTTTTGGGACCTTTTTTAAAGATCCTTAAGGTCATTAAGGAAGTATAACGGTCACGGCCATATTAGGATTATATTCAGGGGACCATTGAAAAACGGCCTCTCGCTCCGCCTCTCTGCGTCTCTGCTTCGTTGTCATTGCTACGAGTATCCCTGCGTCCAGCTTCTGAAGTGCCTGTGTCCCAAACGGAACCACAACTATCGGGCCAGGTAACGCCAAGCCTCGACCTTGCTTATGGCTGCAGGTGCTGGTGCTGCAATCGCGACTTGGCTGTAGGAACCGTAAACCCTGAACCCTAAACCCTAAATCCTAAACCTAAACCCTAAACCCTAAACCCCAAACCGCCAGGTTCCGGGCTCGTAACGGCATGTGCAAAGTTCGAGCTTGGCATGCCGTAATCGTGGAAACACCCCAGCCCTTCGGGCACCAAACCTTACTACCCTAGACCCTAAACCCTAAACCCTAAACCCACTAGTCCCTAAACCCGACTCCCAAAACCCAAACCCTTGGGCCTCTGTCTTGGCGCGTCAGTGGCACCATCGGTTACGCCCTTTTTGGGCCGTGACCTCTGCCACGGGCAAGCATCCGAAGGTTTAGGGTTTAGGGTTTAGGGTTTAGGGTTTAGGGTTTAGGGTTTGGGGTTTAGGGTTTAGGGTTTAGGTTTTAGGTTTTAGGGCATTGGGTTTACAGGGTGTAGCGTGTAGGCTTCATGGAGCTCGTGGGGGCTTATGAGCTTCCGCGGCTTTGTAGGTTCATGGCGTTTCAGGGTTTAGGGTTTAGGGTTTAGGGTACTGTACCCCTAAACCTTCGGTCAAAACTGAAGCCGGTGACCTTACACAGGGGTTAGGGGTTTAGGGCTTGGTGCTTGAGGGAACCCAAAGCCGATCTCCAAACCAAGACCTAAACACACAACGTCTTGAACCCTAAACCCAAAACCCAAAACCCTAAACCCTAAACCCTAAACCCTAAACCCTAACCTCTTGAGCGCATCGGGTGCCTTGGCCGGAAGAAGGTCTTCAGCATCACCTTTGTCGTTGCAGGGTTTAGGGTTTAGGGTTTAGGGTTTAGGGTTTAGGGTTTAGGGCTTTCCGGTTAATCCTGACCCCCCTCGATCCAGCGGCTAGGGGAGACTAGTTGAAGGTTCATGATACTTATTAACCAACTGGGTTTAGGGTTTAGGGTTTAGGGTTCAGGGTTCAGGGTTTAGGGTTTAGGGCAAGGGGGCTGAGCTTGGATTCGCAGCTGAGCGGCTGAGAAGCAGGTGTCCAGAATGCGCTAGAAAGCGACGGCAAAAAACATCTGGCGGCCCTAGACCCTGACTTAGTTGTCCAGTAACCTGGGGGAATTCAAGGTTAACCGTTGGGATTATAAGGGGACCCCAAAAAGGTTAAAGGTTGCCTACTCTACTACTAGGCTGAAAAGGGATCTTGCGTTTGATTACAGGGTGTTTGGCTTATTGTAGGGTTTCGGGTTTAATTCTACAGGCATTCCTGCAAGCTTTTCTTTGCAAAAGCGCAAGGACTTTGAGTCTGGCAGAGACCTGTCTTCTAGGGTTGCTGGTCAGCTAAGGGTCCGCGATGTGTTTTTTCGGTTGAAGTTTCAGGTTCAGGGTTTAAATACCAAAGCCCTAAACCTTATGAACCCTAAACCCGAAACCCTAAGCCTAAGCCGATTTAGAACATTGCCCAAGGCCGTTTGAGAACGCAACGCTGCGCAGCCAATGGTTCCGTCCAAGCTCCACAGCCCTCTGATTTGAACGACACAAAGCTCAGGGTGTAGGCCTTACAGTAAACTCCAGAAAGTTGGAACAAGGTTTAAGGATGAGTAGGGCTTGGATGCCCTTTTGTATACCTTTTGGGGTATGGGGAAAAAGGATGCTCCAACTTTCTGGAGTTTACTGTAGGGCTTCGAGCCTGAATTGTAGTTGCAACTCTTCGATGCCCAAGCCTGCTTTGTGAACCCCTACCCTAAACCCTAAACCCTAAACCCTAAACCCTAAACCCTAAACCCTAAACCCTTAGGGTTTAAGGTTTACTAAACCCCTCTTAGTTGTCCGGTATCCTAGGGGAACCAGAGGTTCAGATTTGGGACTATGTAGGGATCGTGTGAGGGATTATCGCACCCGAAAAAAGGCAAAACGTTACCTACACTACAACGAAGTAATTTCATGGTTGGTACCGAATTCACAGAGCTAAATTCATGGTTGGTGCGGAATTCACAGAGCTAGAAGAAAACCAGGGAAGTCTACTCAAGAGTGTCCGGGTACGCCCCGACTCAACCTAGAGGGAGCTTGCGTGGTTGTTTATGCTTGATTCCAGGGTTTAGGGCTTAGAATTGTGGGTTGAGGGTTTCGGGTTTCTTAGACTTATGGGGCTTCGGGCTTCGGCTTTAGGACCTTGAGGGGCACTGGCAGGAACTCCCCGCAACGTACTGGAAGGCTCATGGGCATAGCTCGTGATGCAGGTATAAGCAACATAACTCTCTAAAAGTCTTCTCAAAAAGTCTTATGACATAATAACCCTTCTATCCAACGGTTGCAAGTCAGTCAAGGTACATGGAAGCCCTAAATAAGACGCATAACTACTCTCTGGGTAAACCCTACAAGTAGGAGCCCCCCTTCCTATACGAACTTTAGTTAAAGGAATTATACCTGTATGGGCCCTTGGGTTGTATAGGATATATAGGGGGGAAAAAGGGGCCTTTATGACAAGCACGGGGCCCCTTAAAAAGCCCATAATGGGATTAGGTCTGCCACCAAGCAAGGCGACTGTGGGGCCAGGGTTTCGGTTTTGGGTGTAGAATAATCCTCATGCAAAGTCACGCACGCACACGCGGCACCTGGGCAACCCTGAGCCCTAAATCCCTGGTTTATTAAGCTTATAGGGTTTAGGGGTTTTGGCCTTGAAGTTTAGGGAACCCTGAACCCTGACCCTGAATCTGAGGTTGCCCAGTCATTGAAAAATGCAGAGGTGATCCTTTTCTTTGAAGTGACTTTATAAGGAATCCTCAAGTTCCAAAAATGAGTAGTTCTCCAAATTAGGCTCCCGTTTGGAGGTCCGTATGTAGTGCGGCTAGTACGGCATCTCTGTTCAAGGACCCCCATACGGACCATATTATAGAGAGCTACCCATATCTAAACCCTAAACCCTAAACCCTAAACCCTGAACCCTAAACCCTAAACCCTGAACCCTGAACCCTGAACCCTGAACCCTGAACCCTGAACCCTCAACCCACCCCCCCCCCCCCCCCCCGTGCCGGCTCATCAGTCGTGGCGTTTTTTCTTCCGGTTCCCGCTCACTGCAACAGAGCCAACAGCACGCCGAGGCGATGGCAGCCCACCAGCGCCTCGTTAGGGTTTAGGGTTTAGGGTTTAGGGTTTAGGGTTTAGGGTTTAGGGTTTAGGGTTTAGGGTTTAGGGTTTAGGGTTTAGGGTTTAGGGTTTAGGGTTTAGGGTTTAGGGTTTAGGGTTTAGGGTTTAGGGTTTAGGGTTTAGGTTTAGGGTTTAGGGTTTAGGGTTTAGGGTTTAGGGTTTAGGGTTTAGGGTTTAGGGTTTAGGGTTTAGGGTTTAGGGTTTAGGGTTTAGGGTTTAGGGTTTAGGGTTTAGGGTTTAGGGTTTAGGGTTTAGGGTTTAGGGTTTACTGTTTAGGGTTTAGGGCTTAGGGTTGTTTATCGGGGCTGTACTTGGAGGGTCAGGGTACTTAAAAACCCCATTGTAGCTGCACTTGTAACCCAATTATATCCCCACTAGGGTACTGAAGGGGCTGATATATGGGTTGTATCCACACATATCATGGGTTACATGAACCTCCAAGTAGAGGGCTTAGAGGGCTTACTTGGAAGCCCTTTTGATTTTAGGAATTGGGAAGGGTTTCTAGTGAATACTATGTAGACCTACTCCGTCAAACGGGCTTCCAAGTAGAGTTTCAGGTTTAGGTTTAGGGTTTGGGCTTTAAGGGCGCTTGGGGCTTAAGGGGTTCACATTGCTCTAAAATTCATCCTAAAAACCTAAGCCCTAAGCCCTGAATCCTGAGTCTTAAGTCCTAAACCCTAAAATCCAAACTTGCTCCAAAATCGACTTTGTAGGGCCGAGGGTTTATCAGCCAAGCCGCACCCACGCCCTCCGCTTCCTCAGGCACGCGACCTGCTGATCTTTCCATCTTCAAGCAAAACACCTGAGCCCTAAAGCCTAAACCCTAAACCCTAAACCCTAAGCTCTAAACCCGAAGCCCTGAACCCTAAACCGAAAACCCTAAACCCTAAACCGCAGCCCTAAACCCTAACCTTCGCTTTCCATGTTGTGGCTTCTCAGTGGAGTCGTTTGAGAGCAAAGGCTTCAGCATAGGAGGAGATAACGAAATCAATGGAGCTTTGACAAGGAAACCTAGGTTTTTGAGGGGGGAAGAAAGTACTGGCTAGCCCAACAACCATATTACAATAAGGATACCCTTTTTGGGGGTGCTTGCTTTCTAATGAAACCTTGCCTAAACCCTGAACCCTAAACCTTAAACCCTAAACCCCCCTCCCACCCAAAAAAGAGAAACGGTTTCGGGTTTAGGGTTGAGGGCTTCAGGGTCTAGGATGTCCTGCAGGACTTCAGGGTA